CAAATTAGTGTTGAATCTTTTGATTTGACCAAGTGAGTCCTAAACCTTTCGACAATTTGCCAATTTAGTCATGAAATTTTTTTCTAGAAATCATTGATGTGGATGCCGGTCATCCTACATATCACGGCCGGCGCTGACGTGGATAAGTTTTGCAATTTTTTAATTTTTTTCTTTTCTTTTCTTTTCTTTACTTATTTTTCCTAGTAGCCACTCACTATGGTACAGAAAAATCTAACATAAGGTCAACAGACAAAAGCCCCATTTGGTTCATCATTTGGAATGCTCATTTGGACTTGAAAGTCCCTAGGCTAAATGCAGATGGTGTTTGACAACTTGTTTTACTCACTTTGGAGAGATGCAATTGCATTTTCAATGCTCTCCAAGGGACTTTTGGCTAATGCAAGGTTGAAGATGCCTTGGGAAGTTGCATTTTCGGAATGCTCATTGTACTGTTCATCTTCTCCAGACAGCAAGTTCGGCGGCCGGTGATCGCCGCCTGAGGGCTAGCCCGACCCTGGCAACCACCTCTTAGGGGTTGCGCGACCCCCAGGCGACCGCCGCCTGAAGTCGTGCGACCCTAGGTGGTGGTCACCGAGGTCGCGTGACCCAGGCAATACCGCTTGGGGTCGCCAGACATCCAGCGTCACCTGGGTCGCGTTGCTTGGGTCGCACGACCCATGGCGTTGCTTGAGGTTCAGGGACCCCAGGTGGTGGTTGCCGGGGTCGCACAACCCTGACAACCGTCACTTGAGATCGTGCAATGGCGATCACCTGGGTCGCGTGACCCAGCCGACACAACCTGAGGTTGCGCGACCTCAGGCCGCCTCGCCTGAGGTTAGGCGGCGGTGGCCGGCGACCAGGTCTGGTCGGTGGCGATGGTCGGATTTCGTGCTCCACTAGAAACTTTTTTTTTTTAAATATTGGCAAAAATCCTTTACAAAATATAGTTTTTACCAAACGGTATTTAGGCCAAAGTTGCTTTCAAATGTGATTTAAAAAACATTTACCAAACACTACTTGCATTTCGGAAAACCCATTTAGCCCAAAGATATTTGCATTCCCCTAAAGACATTTCCCCAAAGTCGAACCAAATGGGGCCAAAGAACCCTGAAAACAGCCTCTCCAAGAAATCAAGGGTTTTAGGCTGTGCATACATCATCTTAGACCGTTCAATCAAACCCAGTGTTGTTTATGCAACACGCTCCACTTTCGATCGCAACACTCCCCTCTCAGTCCAATAGCCCTTTCAAGATCTGAAATCCACCCAAGTACTCGAATGATCGTAGTCCTTTCTTTCAATTATTATAGGCCTCATGACTTCGGCCATACAAACCTAATTTATAAAATGCATTTCCACCGCGTTTCGCTTACTCTGTCACTTGTTACAGAAGTTGTGCGAGATCTAATGAAATGTTAACGTTAAGGTTACACTTTTTCTACATGTGGCTTTGTAGCTAGTTGGGATAATTTCCTTGAAAAATTTGTCCAAAAAGTCTTAAATCTACTATACTTTTGTCAATTCAGTCCTAAATCTTTCAATTTTGTCAATTGAATCCTAAATATTTTCCCATTTTGCTAATTGAGTCCATTCGATCAATTTTGGTTGAATATTGCTGACGTGGAAATTTTAATAATATTATTATTTATTTTTTTATTAATATTATAATTCCCTTTTCTTTTTCCTTTCCTTTCATTTTCTTTGATTTTTTCTTCTTCTTCCTCTAGTCGCCGACCTTCTCAAGGTCAGCAACCGGCCACAGGGGAGAGCCGACGATGGCCGACCTCGCCAGCTGAGCAAGGCTTGCCTCACAAGGGCGAGGTTGCTGAGGCGGGCAAGGGCCGACCTCTCTAGCCTCAAGTCTGTCGAGGCTCGATTGAAGTTGGTAAGGCCGACCCTCATCGACCTCTGGTGAGGGCAAGCCTTGCTTGAGGTCAGCGAGGTCAGCCCTCATAGATACTGACGAGGGGACCTTGCCCACCTCAGCGAGGCAAGCCATGCTCGGCTAGCAAGGTTAGCCTTTGTCAGTTCTCCCTGTGGCTGGTCGTCGGCCTCCTCAATGGCGGTGACCACGAAGGAAGAAGAAGAAAAAAAAATGAAGAAGAGAAAAGAAAAAAAGGAAATTATAAATAACAAATAATAAATAAATATAATATTAAAAATTATCCACGTCAGCACTAATGGTGCCACGTAGTACAGCCGGCGTTCACGTCAACGATTTATGGCCAAAATTGGCTGGAATCACTCAATTGGCAAAATGTGAAAATATTTAAGACTTTATTGGTAAAATTGAAAGGTTTAGGATTAAATTAGTAAAAGTGCAATAGATTTAGGACTTTTTGAATAATTTTTTCCTAATTTCCTTTTAAAGAAAGTAGATCTATCAAAATGGGTCATATACCTACTTCTCAACCCATATATAATGGGCTAGGTTATTGCATGAATTAAATTATATTTAGTAAATGGGTGATAGATGGGTTTAAACATAATATCGGTGTTAAATGGATCATAAATTGATTTACAACTTATTTAGACCCAACTCACATTAATGATTTTTTGGATTTGTGGACATATGGCCGTGAACACTCTTGATGGGATCTGCCTTTTTAGGATTTGTGGAAGTCAATGTCGCTTCTCATAGGTTGTGGTAAAACTCTATGGCTGCGTTTGGTAGCCCGGATTTGTGTCTAGAGAGGATAACACCCACCCAGTGTTTGGTGACGTTCTTCGGACCGGATAAACCTGGATAAAATGTCGGATAAGAAATCCAGCCTAGGGGTGGGATAAACCCAAAAATTAATTAAAAAAAATTCATATTTTATCTTTTAACGGAGCGATAAAATGATGCATTAGATATTGCTTCGCCCAAGGCCTACTACCAAAATTACCGATCATTGTCACTTTCAACCACCTTACGATGGACATCACCTCCGACCACGCCAGTTATCACTACCGGTCGGCGATCGTGTTTAGACAAGTGAGAGTGAAAAAGGGGCCTTAAGACGATTGTCGTGCCGGGTTTGCATAGATAATCCTTTCCACCCCAATTGCATACGTCCTTCACATCGAGCCCGACCTTTCACGCATGACTCACGAGCCGACTGTTCACCTGCTAGTTGACGAAGAACGACTAGCACATCATCAGCTTCTTGGTGATCATGCTCTCGAGTGTCGAGTTCCACCTACTGTGCATCAAGAACGCTGCAATGGCACCATGGGCAGAACCTCCTCCTACGGGCCCATTCCACGACGCACACCTTCTCTGCTGTTGCCTCTCTTGGTCGCTTTCTTCGGCAATGGAGTCCGGCCATACGACCCATAGGAAGTGCCTCCCCCTATTCACGAGGCCATCCCAAAATTATGTGAATTCGTGTTTGTCAGTTGAGAGTCGTCATGCTCTCGAGGTCGACTTCCCAAAGACGTGGCCGAGAGGGTTTGAGTTTCACGTACAAGAGCAGCAAAGTTAGAGATAGGATTTTCAAAAAAATTTAAAGATTTTCAAATGAGAAAATTTTAAAAAATTTGCAATTTTATCTTAGGTTGTGGATTTTCGAAGATTTTCAAAGATTCTAAATCCTATTTTATGTTGCACAAAACATTTGATAGAATATTTTTAGAATCCAGAGATATTTGGAGAATTTCAAATCCCCTTTATCCTATCTTATCTCAATCCGAATCTGGACAATCAAACTAGCCGAAAGCCCTTCCTAAATAGGGATAAGCGCATGACCTTTCAACACGCAGTCTTCAAAGAACTAGCAAACTCTCGTTATGTGTGTAATTTTTAGAGTTTTGGAGATCAAGATTTTATCCTCTTAATCGAGAAATTATCAAAAAAGTTCTAAACTTATTGTAAGGATGTCAATTCAGTCATAAACTTTTTAATATGGGCAATTGAGTCTAAACCTTTTGATAATTTATTAATTTAGTCATTATGGTTAGAAATCGCGTCAACCGTCCTACGTGGACACTTTTTGCAATTTTTGTACATTTTTTTTAAAATTTCTCTTTTTTCACTTTCTTTTTATTTTCCTTTCTTCCTTCACCTGTTGCAAGGCCTTGGCGATGGCCGATAACCGACCACAGGTGAGGGCTGACCTTGCGAGCTTCTGGCGAGGTGACCTCGCCTGCCATTTCTTAATTGAAGATATTATTGAAAAATAAAATGGCAAGTACAAAAATGAGTAATAACCACCCATAGAGACTAGTACAATTCAATTCAACATTTTGTTCATTCGGGTTTGATCGTGTCGTAGCATTATAATTTGTATTAGGTTTATAGTTGGATGAATTGCATTACTAATATTGACACTAAAAAAACTAGTAGGTACAGCTAGCTAGTCCATGAACAAAGCGACCGGCGGAGGAAGAAGAGAAAATAAAAGAAAGATAAGAAAAGAAATAAAATATTAAAAAATTCAATTTTTTAAAGAAAAATTACATAAATATTTCACGTCAACGCTGATTATGACATGTAGGAGGACCGGCGTCTACGCCAGCGATTATTGGACAAAATTTTTTGGGAAAACTAAATTGGCAAATTGTCAAAATGTTTAAGACTTAATTGACCAAATCAAAAAATTTAGCACTGATTTGGCATTCGTACAACAAATTTAGGACTTTTTTTTGGTAATTTTCCTCCCCCTTAACCAGTTTAAATTGTTCATGTACAACGTTCGTGGACATCTACCTCATGCCATGCACTGTGCAGAGAGCCCATCGATTTTCTCTAATTTTTTTTCATTTCAGCAGGAACACAAAAATGTGGCCACTCACTGCGGAATAGGAAAATCTAACATAAGGTCAGCAGACAAAGAACCCCGAAAATAGCCTGTCCGAGAAATCAGGGGTTTCAGGCTGTGCATACATCATCTTAGACCGTTCAACCAAACCGAGTGCTGTTAATGCAACAAGCTCCACTTTGGATCACAACACTTCCAACTCTTTTAAGATCTGAAATCCACCCAAGCACTTGAATGATCATAATAGTCCTCTCTTTCAATTATTATAGTCCTCATGACTTCGACCATACAAACCTAATCTATAAATTGCATCCCCACCGTATGAGGCGGACTCCTCAACTTTACCAAACAAGACTTCTCCTCCACGGCCACCATTTCGACCCATTCTATCAGCCTCAAACGCCGGCCGGTCCTACTCAGTTTTTCTTTCCTTTACGGTGGAAAAACTGGCCGGAAAGAAGTTGTCAATAATAGATTATCGAGCGAAACCGACAAAAGTCGCAATTTTTTAGGGCGGAGAAATGGTTTTCTTTACTATAGTGCCCTCATACTGGGCAGGACCTACAAGGCTCCAATACCTACAAGCTTCCCCATCATATGAACACTCTCCCTCTCTTTCTCTGTCTCTAACCCTAGAAATGAAGATGGATTACTACCCAAAGAGCTCCATCTCGTACCTCGCTCTCCTCTCCCTTCTCTTTGCCAGCTTTCTCTACCTCTGGATCACAACTTCGTCTTCCACCTCAAACCCTTTGTTCCCTATTCACTCCCAACGCAACTGCTTACCACGAAATGTAAGCGCCAGTGTCCCCATTTTTCGTGATCGCTCGATATAAGAAACTTGTATGCCTTGTATTTGTCGTTAAAAGAGTCTAAGTACACTAACTTCGACGCTCCTTCCAGGAGACCGCGGTCGCTGCCGCCCCCACCACTGCCAGTGCCATCCCAAGGGACGACCTTGAGCTCGCGCTGAGCAAGGCATCGATGCCGAACAGGACGGTGATCATCGCGGTGGTGAACCGGGCCTATGCTGACCCCGGCGCGGAGGTGGACTCGGGTGCGACGATGCTGGACCTGTTCATCCGGAGCCTGTGGCTCGGGGAGGGGACGAGGGGGCTGCTGGACCACGTGCTGGTGGTGGCGATGGACCGGGCGGCGTATCGGATGTGCCGGTTCCGGCGGCTGAACTGCTACCGGTTGGAGACGGACGGCGTGGATTTCAGGGGAGAGAAGGTGTACATGTCGGAGGACTTCATCAGGATGATGTGGAGGCGGACGGCCTTTCTCGGCGACGTTCTCAGGCGTGGTTACAACTTCGTCTTCACGGTAAGGGGTTAAGCTTTCTGAAAAGAAGAAAAGGAAATCGTTAATTGTTTTCTTTTATTCCTGATTTTTTGGTTTCATTTTCGTACAATGGCCGACAGAACAGAAACCCATGTTTTACAAGTAACCTCGCAGACTAATCTTTGCCACGTGAGGGCAGGAAAAAAATTGCCATGTGAAATCCAAATTGATCTACAAAAATAAGCAAATTTATATGAGAATTTGATCGAGAGAGGCAGTCAGGTACATTCATACTTCATTGTCGAAGATCGAAGAGCAAAGATTGACGCTTTTTTAAAATCATGAATGGGTCATTGGTCAATAAACATAAATGCATTGCAGACGTATGTTTTATTGTTTTTGTGTGTGTTGTCTGCCCATCCATCTTCTTCTAGATAATTATGTGACGGAGATCTATAATTGGTTGACCGATTACATCGAATACCTGACTCGCATATCGAGCCGTGATAACACCGACAATAGATTTGGAGATAAATATGCTTAGGGTAGGTGGTTTACATAAAGAAAAGTAATGACGAGGTAGTGATTCGAACCCCAATCATGGAGCAAAAAGGTTACTGGTCCTTGTTAGGAAATTTAGGTAGGAATAAAGGGACGGTGGACAATGTCTCCAAGGTATAGTTGAAAATGAAGAAATGATGAAGTGGGTACGGTTGGCAACCATAGAAAATAGGAATTTGGGCTGACGTGGAAGGATGCCACGTGGACAGAGAGATGGGATTTTTGCACTCCCCTAAAGTTGGGGAAGTTCGTGGGCAACAACTTTCGATTGACTCGTCAATTCATTGGCATGTGATGTGTGGGAAACCTCTCGTTCGAAGCCCTCCATCCCTTAGACGAGAGCTTCTTGATTTGTCTCCTGAATTTTAGGGTATCCTTCACATTAATCTCACTTTATAAGGGAAGTAAAGATATCCCAAAGTGGAGTTGGGGTTTCGTACCGCCTCTATGATTGACATTGATAACTCCTTTTCTGTTAACTGTGTTTCGAGGTGGGCACGAGAGTTTCTTTTTTTTTTTTTTTTATAATCCAAGGACATTAATGTGAAAATCTAACGATATGAAAGTGCAGGAAACATTTTGCAAATCCAATGAATTTAGTCGCTTGTTATATAGTGTGAACTCTATGTTGTGGTACCGATAAAAGTTTGAGTGGCAATATGTCACTATCTGTCTTTTTTGCAATTTTAAAGTCGTGCGTCGTACGTAACATGAAAAGAATCTTTAAAAAGAAAAAGGCACGTGCAAGCGCACATTACAATAGAGAAATAGATTGATGTAGTGGTCGACATAGATGAACTCACTTTCAATAACATCTATCGAATCAAGCATGTACAGTCTCCAATAGGGAAATCCCATAGCAGCTTTTTCTTATGAGGCTATGGTATATCTTATGAGAAGGGGACATTGAAAAGCATAGAAGAGGAAAAATCGAGGTGTTCGATTGACAAGCATAGAAGGAAGAGCTCCATTATTGTCGGACAGGTACGGAATATGAGAAGAGTCGATGCATGAACATCGTGAAAAATTGTCCTCACACCTCTCCATTTATATTGTCTTATTAGACACCCAAAAAGGGTATTTTCTTCTTTTTTGTATTTTGACTTTATTCATCATCAGAGATGAAATAATTTTCTTGGAGGATACTAATATTTGGATGGTTGTAACTAGGAACTTGCACAATCATATAAATCATGTGCCAAGTAAGATTGATTCTACACGAGTCTCTAAACTTTGTTGGGGTTTTCTAAATTAGTTTCTTTCACTAAGGATAGACCCAATAAGAGACAAATATGTTCGAGTGCGCTTGGGACTATTGTTGAGCATGTACCGTATTTAAAAATACAATTTAATTAATAAAACGGTTAATCACATTGAAAATCGTAAAACAGTCTCAATCAATTAGTAACTAAAGAAGTGTGGTAGGACATTTTGCTGCCGACACCTATTAAACATGTTGCTTGATTTGGACATTTTTGTTTCGGATCTCCTTTTTTTTTTTTTTTTGGTCGAAGTTCTCCTTCGTTTTCCACAAATGTTTGCTATTGCCTTTCTTTCTACTTGCCGGCAAAAATTTCCCCGTACATTTTGATATGATAGAGCGGTGCATGCATGATCTAAGCCACGGATCACTTGATTTCCTATGCAAGAATTGACATGAACAGTATTTTTTGTTGGCTAGAAATTATGGGATTTAATAATATCATCACGGGATGGGTGGTGGACGTTGATTGGCGCCACAAGCTTGAGACGGGGTTTTTACTGAGGCCAATATTGTTTCAAGGAACCATAGGGGATATTTACTCGAGATTTAAATTATTCAAGGAGATTATTATTAATTTGCTTCTTCCAAGGTGTTGACACTTGATGGATAAGTGTGCGGTTTCCTAGAGAAATTGAATTAGTAGAAGCTGCTTAATGCATAGTTTAAACAGAGGAGACAACTAGGTAGGACCTTCGATTTCGTTAATTTCGAATAAATAATTGTTATTGCACTTCTTAGTGTCCCACATGGGCTCACCACTAATGATGCGTCAATTGGGTTTAAAAGAAAAGTTTCAATTTGCATCCTATGGTCTTCAGAATGACCGACCCTTGTGCTACTTTGATCAATTGTCAAAAGATTTAGAACTAAATTGGTCGAATTGAAAGATTTAGGACTGAATTGGCACAAATGTACTGGATTTGAGACTTTTTTTTTTGGTAATTTTCCTGTAATTATCAGAAGAGTCGGGGGCAGAAATGCTATTTTTTTTTTTATCATGACATTAGTGCTGCTATGGTACCATGAGACTTCCTTTGGTGTACACCTTTTGAATTAGTTATGTAATTTATTCACAAATATATGTCGCTCAATCTCGATTAAGTAGTTGATTATGAAGAATTCGACTGTGTAACCTCATCCATCCTCTAATCTAAATTTTTGTCGCAGGACACTGACGTGATGTGGCTGAGGAATCCGTTCAAAAAGCTGAGCAAGAACGAAAGTGAGGACCTCCAGATCAGCACCGACGTCTTCAACGGCGACCCGTGGTCGGAGGACAACTTCATCAACACCGGATTCTACTTCATCCGGTCGAACAACAAGACGGTCGCGCTGTTGGACGAGTGGTACTCAAGGCGAGAGAACGCCACGGGCAAGAAAGAGCAGGACGTCCTGTTAGACCTAATCCACGAGGGCGCATTCAAGAGACTCAATCTCAGCGTGCGGTTCTTGGACACGCTCTTCTTCAGCGGATTCTGTGAGGATAGCAAGGATTTCAGAGAAGTCGCGACGGTCCACGCGAACTGCTGCCGGAGCATAAAGGGCAAGGTTTTCGACCTGACCGTGGTGCTTCGAGATTGGAAGAGGTTCAAGTGGTCGAGGAAGAAGATGGTGGCCGTTAACGGAACCACGGCAGCGAGCTGGAAATGGACGAACCATATGGGGTGTTGGCGAGCTTGGCGGGTGCAAGGCAATAGAAATAATTAAGATGGTTCTCACTTCTGTTTTGTTGGCCATCCTTTCTGTTTTAATTTTCTTTTGGTGCAAGCTATGTCATTAGATCATTGAGCATTCATGGAATTTAGAATGTAATAAATATGACGACTATAAGAAAAATAATATATATGTCTCTCATCGTTGTTCTTGTCGGTAAATGAATCTCGATCTTTTAGAGTTCATTTATAATGCATTAATTTCCTTTGGAAATCTTCTTGTTAGGGGTGTCAATTGATCGGGTTAGGTTTTCATCAAAACCCGAACCAATCCAGCGGCGAGGGTGGCGTGCTGAGGATGCAATGGCCGTCAAAGAGGCACTAATGGGGCTAGGAGGAGGGAACGAGAGGTCCATGTCTTCAAGAGTCAAATAGGCACGACTCGATTTAACTCTTTTTTTAAACGAATCAATGTGTTTTATTTCAATGTTTCGAGTCAAAACTATATTTTTTCATCATAAAAACTCAAACAAACGAAGAAATTGAACCCGACAAATCCAAACGTTTCCAATTCAGTTCAGGCAAGTTCCAGTTTCTGGCTAATTTCGACAACCCTAGTTCGTGTGCCTATCGGTAGACAGATTTAAGTGTTTTGTCGTTTGACCTGTAACACTAAATTAGAGTGCCAAACCTTTGTTTGGTTTTGATTTAAATGGACGACTCAGACGACCCTCAAAGTTGCCGATGACTCATCGAAAGCGTTCGAGGATTTTTGGCTTAACTTAAAAATTAAAGATCACCCGTTCAAGATCTATCGATTGCATGCGAACTACTACACAAACTAATGACATGAACTCAAGTGGTTTATGGAGTTTCTAGGTGTTTCACGGGCACCTATGTAACCGGATCTCCACGCCCGTGCTTTAAATTATAGGAGAAAAAAAAAAGGGACTTAAAAGAGACGCGTATTTTCTCCACTCGAGCTAACTTAAATAATTTCTTAGAATTTTTAATCTCTCCAAATTCCTATAGAAGTGAGATGACTTGGCGAGATCTAAACATATTCGAAGACTCGATAATTCCCGCTCACTTTACTTTATTTCCCACATTTCTTGAGTTCCCTTCTGCTCATCCGATCATCTATTGATATTTCACACAATTGATCGTTTATATAAATAAGTTTTCGGGTTTTTTCCTAAAGAAATATTATCTTCTACATAATAATAATTCAAAAAATGACTGCTTATCTACTTAATCCGCGTTAGTATTTTTGGTTTTGACAGTTAATGGAAACTAATGAGCTAAATATCTCGAATATTAGACAAAACCAAACCAACGTATCGCGTTGTTCTCTACGCACGTGGTTTTTCTATAAGACAGAAATGAGGTATGCCTATGTACAAAAATGAGGTTTAAAGGAAGATCAAACATTGATCAATTTGCACTTGCGGATCTCTTCTTTCATGATTCACAACATTAATAATTCGAATCTTTCTTTTCTTTAGATTGCTTTTCTAATGAATTTGGCTCATAGTTTTGATACAACATTTTGCACGAAGCATCATGACATTGCAAATTTCGAAAAACAAATGTTCTTTTTCTTTTTAAATGCTAAAACTTCTGAAGCTAACAATTCTCAGTTGGATCTAGAGATACAGCCAACTGATTATACAAGACGGAATCATTAATTTACGCCGAACAACGGAATTTAAAAGAACGGCTGCAATTCGCCTTTTAGTTTTTTCCTTTTCTTTATTGCCCAACCATAGGCAATAACATCAGTTCAAAAAGATGATCCTTCGTTGGAGGACAGTTTAAACATCGAATAATCAATAATAATTGCTAGAGAGGGTCAACCTTCGGTCCGTAAGATTATAACGAATCACAAAAGTGACATACAAAACATGGAGAGAGAACCACTCATTTTCACTCCTAGAAAAGAATAATTCCGCATAGGTTTCTCCACAAGTTACACCCATTCCAACTCACAAGGAAACTAGCCGAACCTGTGAGGAAGAATGCCGAGCTATGCACAACCCTCCATAGCCAAAAATAAAAGAATTAGAAAAGCACAAACATCAGACAAATCAAAGCCTCACCATAAATATTTCACAATGCTCTTACCGTGGTTTGAGAGGTTATAATGCATGTAACAAGCAATGTACAACGAAACCAATGGAATCAGGGCAGCAACAATAGACGATCCAATATCTCATCTCCAAACCCATTTCCTAGCTGGGAACAAAACTCTCATTCTGAAATACCAAGTTCTGGAGCGAAAGTTTTAATTTTTCAGATTTAGAAATCAAGCAGTAGTTATACATAAACTTCTCCAAGTTCAGTAAACAATAGGTTTGGGTCGCGCATTCTTGACACGACCAATCTTATGGCACAATGGTTAGAACTCCCAATAAAAAAACCAATGTCCCTCCTTGGAGGGTTAGTGACCACGACTTGCTGCTGCAACTTCACGAAAGGGCACATGCCAAAGTGTGACAAAATGCCCAAATTATTAGACATAAAATGCGAGGATTCAAGAGTTTCCATGGTTTTTTTGTCTCATAATCTGAAAGGGGTATTAGTTGTCCAATGTTTCCCAAAAAAAAAACAACTATAGCCATTTGTACGATCTTGAATATTGCTAGATATCCGGTCAACTAGAAGAGTGCATTTTTCGGGAAATTGGTCCAATAACTCTTTTTAGCCACCTGGGCTTTCGGCCAAGGAACCACTTTTGGTATAAAGCAATCATTCAAATGATGGCCTATGTTCTGCATCCAAATGTCAGCATCAAATCTGTAACACATTCTAATTGCAGTTTCACTTTTCCAACAAGTTTCTCAGTCACTGAGTAAACAAGCCAGCTAGCAATAACACACCCAACAGTTATGTTGTTCCTAAAACAAATCTGCCGTATAGGACTTTTCCATCAGCAGCAATCAAACAATGTAGGAAAGATGTGAACCCCATGATACCTTTTGCTCTCACAAAGTTACACCACAGCAGCAACAACATGTCCATGAATTTGAGTCTGACTTTCAGCTTATAAAGAAGATTCAAGTGCAATCAGAGCTTTCTTCCAGTGTATAGTCGACAGGAGCTACCCTCCTAAGAGAAATACCATAAATCTAAAGGCCGGCAATGGCACAAAAAGAATGTATCATCAAGGGATTCTCCTGTTAGGTCGCATTTCTTCTTGCGATCTTTACCACTACCAAGAAAACGCATTCGAATACCTACACACTGAGGCAGTTTGGCAGTTTTCTTCTGAAGCCTCAGTCATCTCTTAACTTTCAGGCCAAGGGTTATATTGTTCTTATTAGGTAAACAGGGAAATGGTGATGGGCCATGAGCCATAGCTTATGATATATTTGACTGCATTAATTATGCTCATTAATTTTCTTCAGGCATCACCAAAAGGTAACCATCACATTCTGAACCTTTAAAAAGGAGTACAACTCCTTCTACGCTCCGTCCAATAGAAAAGCTGATGCACAACATCCCCAACAGTCTCCTCCAAAGGGAATACTTTCAGAGAGAACACGAAAGATGTAATAATACAAATAAGAAACTATCTTGATGTTGTCCTAAATAACTCAAATTTCCTCCACTGTAGAATAAGCATGGCATTGGCCTCTAGGAATGTCCACCCTGGCCTGTTTGAAATACTGAAGCACGAACATCAAGCTAGCATCCCAATAATGACGAGGCCTGAATTCTCTTCCACATATATAGCCATCATTATGCTAGCTTCCAAAGATCCACACTAGACCAGGCTCTTTGAAAGGTCAAATCTGTTCCATAGATAAATTCACTAGTAACCTCACTCTTGAAAATTCACTAGTACCTTTGGATGAAACAGCAGAGTGATGGCATGTCCCGAGAAACTGTTAGTCTCCGATGTAGACTATCCAATCCCCAAACGCTTCAGAAACACTTGAAAACTAATAAATAGATAAATAAAGAAGACTTACCTCAGTAGTATGAACCAGAACTACCCGGTCCCATGTAATTGTTACCTCCTCCACCTCCACTGCGGCTTGAGTACATCGAAGAGTAAGAGCTGCCACCGCCCTGCATTGCAATCAATGGACTAAATGAGAGCAGGCGAAGCATATTTGCTTAGATATCTATCACAGATAATTAGAGAATTACATTATTTCCTCGAGGCATGTACTCGCTATAGCTTGATGAGTACACTCCTCCAGCATCACTGCTGCCATAAGAACCTGAAACCATAGAGACCAAAAAATTCATGTCATGACAAAAGAAAGGCATAAATTATCAGTGAGGTAACACTTAGATGACTAATTGCATACCGCCATAACCCATACTTTGATGACGACTCCCATAGTACCCATGCGAATCTTGACTGGACATACTGGACATAGAGCTCCTACTGCCACCATAACCCATACTAGATCTCCCATGTCTAAAACAAAATCCATATGTGATTATCACCAGCAGCAGCAATACAGACATTATATTTGAGTAATTGCTTCCCTATTCAAATTTACAGAATACTAACCTGTCACCGTAGGCATCGCCGTAGTGGCTACTAATGCCACCAAGTTCATAGTCCAGCCTTGCTCTGGATGGACGGACACCCGGATCAGCATAACGCGGAGGCACATCATCCTTCATTTTAATGACATGTAGCAAATTATAACAGTCTCAAGTACAATAAGGAACAAGATATGTAATTCCACTTCAAAATTAGTTGATGAGATTGTTACCACTGCAGAATAAGGACGTTTTGACCCTGAGATAGATTCATAATCACGTGCACGTGCTTCCCGATAGCTTGGATGTCTTTCAAACCTTTGTCCGTAGCTCTCATCAGGATAATCCCTCCTAGCAGCAGGGCGGGCTGTACTTCTATGCAGGTCAGTGTAACCAGATTCACGTACAGCATAATCATCTCTGTATGCCACACGTCTCTCGGGCACAATTCTGGAACCATAATCTGCAGGTACTCTGCTCCTTGGAGGAGGAAGCTCCTCTCTTCGACTGTACTCCCTCTTCACGCTACTTCTTGAATATGAAGGAACTGTCAAAACAAAAGAGGTTTACAATGAAGATTCACTCTGCTCCCCTTGCAGCTACATAATATGTATCTTGACTAACTCATACCAGGTGGCCTCCTATCATAAGACCTAGTTGGAGGAGGCAACGGCCTGTCTCTTGGTGGCATGGCCATCACAGGACGTCTCTCTCTTATAGCAAGAGGCCTCTTCAAGCTGGCTGGCGGAATCCGACCTCCAGTGCCCCTTATACCACGTGCAGGGAAGCTGCGTACAGCTGGACGACTCCACGAACCTCTGGAAGATCGACCAGCCACGCGTGCAGAACGCATATCCCCACGACTTGAATATTTTCCTTTGCCTCTCTGAAGAGGTCTCGACAATCTGGCCCTAACTTTGGCCTGAAATACACAGGTAAGCCTTCCATTAAGAGAAAACAAACTACTAACAAAATCACAAGGTCATAGCCTAAACTAAATACAACACAATAAGACGGAATGACACATGCCGGGAGAAGATAATGGCAACTAATCCTAATGGGATATAATTGGTAACCTTTTTCCATATTATCCAGTCTTATTAATTCTTAGAGCCCCTTATGGGCAGAAGTTCTCTGACCAAACCAGATTATTTCTCGATGGAAGTCATTCTCTCACTCCCTCCTCACCTCTCACGCCCACAGACAACATGCATAAAAGCATCTCTCCGTCCCTCCCTCCCTCTACACACACACACACACACACACACACCCGGCACACTTGCAAGTTCCCAGAGCATTTTTCCCTTGAGTGATTCAATATACACAATCAACGAGAATTGGCTGATTAGATGAAAATATACAGAGTGATGATTAAACGGACCTTACTATCACCTTCACCCAACTCAGAATTATTGATGCTTTTAGCACATGTCACTGCCGCATCATGAGTGTCAAATGTAACAAAACCGAAGTCCCGTCTTTTGGCAGATGGCATATTCCTAGCAAGTTCAACCTTTTCAACCTCACCATACTTCTTCAAGAGCTCCCGCACACGATCCTCATCCCATGAAGCTGGCAGACCATCCACAAATACAGTCTTAACCTGAATGAAGGTGTAGTTGGTGACATTGGTCAATCGATCAGCCCTCTTGCCCATAAACAGACACCAAGAAAGAAACATAAAAATCTGAACCGAAAGAAGGTTCAATGGATTATAAGTAAATTTCATCATGACAGCAAATCAGAAGCCCATGTTGCCAACTGAAGTAGAAAAGAAAAGAGCCTAATCTAAAGAGTAGTCAGGACCAGAAATGATATTTCAGAGAATTCTTCACATAAAAAAGGAAGTCGCATTAGCAAATGCACACAATTGAAATGCTACTTTTTCCATCAATAGGAACATTTTCAGGCACTGTTACTTGCTTAGTGCCATCACATTTCGCATTCAGATTCTAGAGACTAAGCAATGCGGGGCTTTTCCATCCCAAAGTTAAACAATTTCATGGCACTGCTAAAATTTAAGTTGATCACATTACCTGTGCCATTATTTCATCCCCAGGATCAATAAATGAATCAGCAAAAGAGACCTTAGCAGGCCTATCAACTCCAAATAGAACATCTCTTTTCTGAAGCCTTTTAAATGCCTCCATGGCTTCAGAACGAGATGAAAATTCCAGAAAGGCAAAGCCTCGGTTCATCCCTTCATTGTTACCATCTTCGACTAATGTCACGTCCTCAACGTTCTCCACACCGTAATGTTTCAACTTCTCTTTCAACTGAAGACAAAGTTGTCACGAGAAAGAGAGGAATGCATAAGATCTTCGAACCACTACTAAAAATTCTTGCTCAACAAAAATAAAGTTGACCCAAAAGTTGCACTTACAGCTTCCTTTGTCCAGGTTTTACATATATTACCAAGAAATAGGGTATCACTGTCTTGACTTGGAGTAACCCCACATTGCTTTCCCTTAATCTGGAATAGCACTTATCATAAGTTAAGAATAGAATTCAACATTAGTTGAGTGAAACACCAGTTCAAAAACTACAGGAACCAAAAGTTACCACTGGATTTCTAAGATCTGTGACAGCTCGTCTTGCTTGTTCAACAGTCGCAAAGCGTAGGAAAGCAAATCCCTTGTTCTTCCTAGTCTGAGGATTCATCATCAGCCTGACTTCTGTTACGTCACCAACTGCACTGAAGACTTTCCTCAGATCATCCTCAGTAGCATCCTTGTCTAGTCCTCCGACAAATACTTCAAACTCTTTGCGTTTGCGCCTCTCTTTGAAAACTTCATGGTGATCATCCTCCTCCACATCAAGTGTCTCCGGATGTTCCGGCCCATCATCCGGATGATCTTCATCTTCTTCACCCTCAAGTTCTTCGTGAACATCCTCCAGTTCATCCTCCATCATATCTCCTTCTTCCTCTTCGACAAGATGCTCCTCCTCATGTTCTTCCTCGCCTTCAACTGCCATATCATGAACATCATCCTGTTCCATCTCTTTATCATCATATTCTTCTGGCTCATATTCAGGATCATTATCCTCCAGATCCAACCGTTCATCTTTCCCATACTCATCAACCGACTCCTTCACCTCATCTTCTTCTGTCACAAAATAAGAATTACTTTTTAAGCTCGAGCTTCTTTTCTCATCAATTGACATCATATTTTTTTGTGCACGACAAGGGCACGTTTCGTGCCTGCCTTTCCATCTCATATAAAAACTGACAATTACCAAGAACTAAGTGACCCACAAAACTTCCAAGGCACAACATCCAAACAGTAAACTTCACCCCAATCTATGCTTGTACAAAAACTATTTCTTTATGGTCAACTTCGCATCAGACCCACTAATCTGGTTCCTCCACAAACGTTATTTCAGCAAACAGTGGAAAAGAAAACAATCGTTTTCTGCTGCAAAAAGAGCCAAAAGAAAAAAAACTCGAACGACAAGGGAAACCACCACAAAAGGAACATGCAATACGAGCAAAGTCCAACTAAGCAACGGCAAACCCTGAGAACAGCCACCCCCAACTTCGCAAGAACAAAGCAAATTCTCATCAGAAAAAAAAAAAAACCGCAATCCTAATCTGATCCGCATCAAATTAGACAAAATCAAAGCGCGAGAATCCACATACTCATCAGCGGAACCGAGCCATTCGCCCGAGCAACCTCCAGCTCCCTCCTTTCCTCGACGACGACCGGCTTCTCCTCGACCCCGGGCCTCTTCCTCTCGAGGGCCGAGCGGTCCTCTTCCACCACCACCATCACGACTTCCTCCTCCTTCACTTCCTCAACCCTCGCCGGCTCCTCCGCCGGAGCATCCTGCTGGCTCTGCTGCGCCTTCCTGGAGGACCTCGGCGTCCGTTTCTGCCCCGACGCCGCCGCGCCCCGCTTCACCGTCCGAGGAGGCATCTATCTCGCCTTCGGGGGAATTTTTCCGGGCGATCGGAAGCTTCAGGAACCGCGGAACGAGAACCCCAAACTTGAGCTCAAAGGCGATCGCTTCGGAGCGCTAGGGTTCGAGAGCTTCGCCAAGGGAGCACGAATTGGGTCCAATCGAGGAGGGAAATGGATGCAGATGAGGACAAGATAGAGAGAAGGAGAAGAAGAAGAGAGGGTGAAACCCTAGCTGCGGATTTTATACGGTGGAAGTGAATTTCTACGGGGGTTTCGTCGAAGTGTATTAGCGTGGGTCGTACCTCGGGTCGTGGTTTCACACGTGTGCGTGGAGAATGGTTGGGGGGGGTTTCGTGTGATGGAATCCGAATCGAAGTCAAGGGTCAATGCGCGAATTTAAGGTTCTTTTTAATTCGTATGATTCTTTTTTCTTTTTTTTTTGTAAAAATGAGAAGCATCGCTATATTTTTGGAATTATATATATATTGTTTTAGTGTGGTGACATGTTGAGAGGAGAATGCATTTTGGATATTCGAAGCGATTTGATGTGCAGTTGTGCATCGAACAATTGTAATTCCTATAAATAAGGCTCTTGATACGACCCTATTTGATTATCTAAAAGGAATAAAAAAAACCAAAAACAAATTCACACTCTACTCCATTTACAGTGTGGAATTGAATGCATTAAACTGAAATACATATGCAAGAAAATGATTGGTACAATAACTATGAAAGGATAACTTCTTGGAGAGTTGAGTGGGGTTCGTGCGTCTCCTTTTGGATGAATTCCATAATATTTAGGGGTAAACAAAAGGAGTCGCTTGAATTGAAAACCGCCCGGACTGATCGGTTCTGGGTGATTCCTGAGAGCATCGGTCCGATTTCCGATTCCAATTTTTTGGAATACGTGATTTTCGATCCGATTTTATGTGTAGAACCACCCACCCGGACCATCCGGATCGGAACAGACTAAATTTGGGTCATTTGACCTTTGAATTTCTACAAAATACGAAAGAGCTCCCTTTCTCCACGAAGCAAGACACGACAAAAAGGGAAGAAAAAGAGAGTCAAGTTTCATTTACATATCCATTGCTTCGTCCTAATATAGATTGTACAATGACTAGTTCAAAATACAGGAAAAAATATTTTCCCAAAAAAATAGCTAAAAAGGCTATCGGTTTTATTGCCCCGGCTGGGAGGATCTCGGTCTCAGAAGGTTCCTGGTTCCCGGGTGGGAATCAAACTGCCTAGGAATCAATCACCCCTAATAATATCTCCGTACTTGCCGCTTGAAATTTTTCTTGATAATTGTTTTATACCATGATTAAATCTTGCAAGTGCCTAGCGAGTATTCCCACTTTGTCGAAGTAACCACCTTCAATCATTGGACCCACGTGCTTGTGTTGCCGACTAATTAATGTAGCATTCCCTTATCCATGCGGCTTTAGAAATTTCTTCCGAATTCAGCCTTGCTCACAACATATACAAAATCTCTAGAGAGAGAAACTAGTAGGAGTGATAGATTTTAGGGTAGGTCGGTTTCCACTTTGTAATCAGGAACCAAACCGAAATGGGTCAATTCCCTGCCTGTCCACTCGGGAACAAGATCAGTCTGATCCGATTTCTGAGTTGAACTGGGACTGGATGTATAACTTCTTGCAAGCCCTCTGATCTCTCTCCTCTCTCCTCTCTAGTTGGAAGAGATTTTGCTAACCCTAATCCTAACACTCGTGAGCCCTCCGATCTCGACGACAACCTAACCCTAGCCTAGACACTCGCTCCCCAATTCAATTCAACTTCCGAAAAAAGGAGATTTGCCAATGTAAGAAAAAACAAAAGGAAAGATCAACACAAAAAAAAAAACAAGAAATTCACCTCCTTTTCCAGTGCAATGAATAAGAGCTTCCTCATGTGACCATGGCAACGAGCAAGGGAGACAATCGCAGGGACGGAGCGTCGAGCAGTGAGCACGAGAGAGATGAAGTGAGGGTGTCTTGAGTTGCGAGAGGCTGACCAAGTAACTAAACAAAGAGGGATGAACCGAGGGAGGTGAAGACTCAAGCCCTAATTTTTGTTTTAGGGCAGCTGGTTCCTTTTGGTTCAGTTCGGTTCCCATTCCAACTTGAGATCGATGCACACCTCTATAAATTAGAGAGAGAAACTCTGAATTTGTGATTGTATTTTTGAGTGAGTATAAATGAGAGGAAGGGACCCCTATTTATACAAGAATCCCTGTGATTACAACCGTTGATCTCCAACCCAACCTAACGGCGGAGATTGATGAGAAGTCTCTAGAATACAAAAGTACATTTCCCATTTTACTCCTTAAGAATACTCTAAAATGCTCTCAAGAATATCGTAGAGTACTTAAGAAAGGTCCTCCGGAACTTCAACGCTCTTCCGATTATTTCGGATAATTTCTCGTTACATTTTGCCTTAAAAACGTCCGGACCATCACTTTTGACACATGGATTTGCACTCTTGTGTTTCCTCCTTCACATGTTTTCTTTGGTTGATCAAAGTGTAACTTCGGCCCGTTCGTTTGGTGAAAATATTCTCCTTTTGGAAAATATTTTCCCGAAGTCATTTTCCTGGAAAATGTTTTCCGGAACATAATTTTCCGGTGTTCGCCACCAATATGAAAAAGTTTCAAAAATATTTTTCGCCGGCGACCGGCGGCGGGCGGCGGCGGCCGGCGACATTGGCGGCGGCGGCAGCGAGCGGCGCCGCGACGCGACCTTAGTGAAGTAGAAGAAGAAGAAGCTCCGTAAAATGATTTCTTTGAAGAAACGGAAGTCATTTTCCGTAGACTTAGGCTATTTTGTGGGGGGAAGGAAAATATTTTCCCATGGAAAACGTTTTCCGCCCCGAACACCGGAAAACCCGGAAAATATTTTCCGGAAGAATATTTTCCGCCAAACGAACGGACTTCATTAGCCTTTTCCATCAATTAATACTACTGTGAAAGCACGCGATGGATTACTAAAGAAATTGGTATTTATTTTTGAAGCGAAGGAAGTTAGTAGTTTTAAGATGTTTCTTATTATTATTCGCAGTTATTTAATGCAGGGGTAGTGAGGAAAGTTTTTTTTTTGTCCAAAATGGTGAGGAAAATTGAAAAAAGTGAGGCAATTGACACTTTTGGCAAATGTATAAATGGGTTAAAGTGTAGGTCGATCGCGGTACACGGACGGAGCTTGGCTTTTTTCTCAGTGGGGGCGTGAAGAATTGACATAAACGACTTCACACATAAATAGTGCGACAGGTATGTATGAGATTCACGGTTAGAGGTGCGAGTTAAGCTACTCGTGCACTACTCGTGCTCGACTGATCGCCTACTCGAGATTGACTTAATTTCTTTGAGCTTGAGTTGAGTTCGAGTAGGTCGAGTTGCCTGTTGTGTCAAGTTCAAGTCTCAAAAACCCGACTTGACCAAGCCAAATCGAGTATATGATATTTTTATATAGATTTCGTTTGTTTCCGGGATAGATACTTAAAAACATCTTACGATATTACTTTTTATTACGTAATCGCACTTTCATCCTGTTATAGAAATTTTAGACATAACAAAAATGGCGAGTGGCGGTATTTCAAGTTGAGCCGAGTTCAATCGAGCTGGAGAAAAATCAAGTATATCGAGCCGAGTCGAGTTCGAGCATGTTGAGCCAAATCGAGTATATGATATTTTTATATGAATTTCTTTTGTTTCTCGGATAGATGCTTAAAAACATTTTATGATATTACTTTTTATTAAGTAATCGCACTTTCATCCTGTTATAGAAATTTTAGACATAACCAAAATGGAGAGTGGCGGTATTTCATGCTGAGTCAAGTTCACTAAGGATAAAGGTATTGGAGTCGAGTTTCAAGCTTTGAGTTTATGAATCGAGTCGAGCTGGTATTGTTTTGGTTCTACTCGACTCAATTGCACCCGAAGTAGTTCAAAAATTTAAGTTGTAGAAAATAAGATAACTCTATTATTGATAAAATAATTGCAACTTGTATTATAGGCTCTATACTATCGTGTCTTGAAAGCGTCAAATAATTGTTTCGCTGACTATGATATTAATTGATCCTTTTTTTAAGTAACTGACTGAAAAATGATTCACGAATTGACATGTCATTCTATTGTATAGACAATTTTATTCACATTGATTACAAAGAATGACCTGTCATTGCTAACAATAAAAATATCAATGACTACTCATTGGATATCTACAATTTAAATGTCGAAGAATGCAATCGTTGTAGCACTATTTAGTGTTTCCTTTCAATGTGAGTATCACTACCACTTAAAACACTTTATATTCATTTCAAATTGGTTGTCGATATGTTCTTTTTACTTGCATTATTTGGTTTTCGGAGATTGTGGGCTAATATGAGTTCTTTTGGGTTAAAATATTTTTAGTTTTTTTGACAACTTGGGCTTTTCCAATTCTATGGGTCAAAATTTGTGGCCTTTAAAATCTAGTAGGGTTAAGGCCTCGAAGTTAATGGGTCAAAACTATATATAATTAAACATGCATAGTGTTGATACCTTAAATTTTGTGGCTATGTTTTTTTTTCTTTTATATAAAAAGGTAATCATGTTTAACCTGGGGTTGACCAAAGATTGACCGGGGAATACAACATCCAAATCACATTGTGAACCCGAAAAATGGGTTCTATTCGTCATAACTAGCCTTTTGACAGCCAAAAAGCCACCCGAATCCAATAGTCAATTTTTTACCCTCTGGAACTGGTTTACTAGTTTTTTGTATTGTTGGGAAATTTATTGCACATGCCAAAACTAGGGATAGCAAGCATTTTAATGCAATAAAACCGGGTCAATCGGATGCGAATGAGGAAATAATCGCCGGTCAAATTTCGCTCAAACCTTTCATACTTAAAAAAGGTTCCAGAGCCTAAAATCGTATCGAGGTCTCGGAATTGAACAACTTTAAAAAATCATATGCTAGGACAAATGATGATTTTTGAAAATAATAAGTAACCAAAACGACACTCAGTTTCATAGACCCAAGTCTTTGACCTTAATAGGGCTTGAAATCTCAGGTCCGTGATTTCGCGATTTCACCTATTAATATAGAGAATGTTCAAAAGCATTCGACATGAGCTTTTTCTGACAATGCAAAAATCGCTTGCATCAAATGTTGGATGTAGGAGATATCGGCCCAAAAAGAGCAAGCCTCAATTTGAGGTGCGAGTGCCTCTTCTCGAGGTGGCTGACCTCACCTTCATTACCCCCTTTCTC